GAGGCCTTTTTGAGATTAAATATTTACATATGTAGATCAGGGAGTGAGTTCCTTTCCCCACCTCCTCCCCTTTCCCTCTTTCCCTTTCTGTCTTTGGCTATTTATTCTTTCCTTTCCTGACCATACCTGTCTCAAGGTTTTTAATGAAAGAGAAGCATGTAAGTGGCCCAGGTGGTTGTGACTATGGAGAGGAATTCAGGGAGAAAAAATGTTGAAGGGATAAGAGAAAGATGAGTGTTATGGAAAGTAAAGACAGGTTTTGAGATCGTTATAGGGAGAGATAGCATGGTAATTTGAACCAGGCCTTAGGTACTCCTGGAGCACAGTGGAAATAGCACTGATTTTGGACTCAGAATATAGGTTGAAGTCCTATCTCTCACTTAACACCAATAAAAAATTGGGCAAGTCACATTACCTCCATGAACCTGTTTCCTCATCTGCAAAATGAGAGGGTGGGAGTAGATGACCTGTAAGGTCCCTTCTGGCTCTAAATATATGAAGATTTTATCCCAGCTGCTAATGCCTTCCTTTTTGAGATGACCTTCCATTTACTTTGAATTTATGTCCCCTGTGAATGTGAACTGGAGAGGACCCCAGAAGTCATTAAATTCAGATCCACCCCCCCTAGATTTTACAGATGAAGAGACCGAGACTCAGATATTTAAGTCTCTTGTCTAGGTCGTACGGGTAGTGACAGAATAAGAATTCCAGTAGAATCCAAATCTCCAAATTTGGCTCTCCTTCCAAAGCACATTTGATTCTTACCAATTCAGGATCCTGTGATTAAAGGGGCACCCTCCAGGCAGGGAAAGTAAAGAGGCTGATAGACTGTTAGATATTCTAGGTATGCAAATACTCTGGTATGCTATGAAAAGGGCAACTGTGTGGCACAGTGGATAGAATGCTAGACCTGGAGTCAGGAAAACTCATCTTCCTCAGTTCGAATCTGGTCTCAGAAACTTACTGGCTGCATGACCCTGAACAAGTCACTTAACCCTGTTTGCCTCACTTTCCTCATCTGTAAAACGAGATGGAGAAGGAAATGGCAAACCACTCCAGTATATTTGCCAAGAAGACCCCAAATGAGGTCATAAGGAGTTGTACATGACTGAACAAGTTCTATGAAAGGATGGAGTGAGAGTAAGATCATCCTTAAAGATAATCTAGTTCATCCCCTCATTTTACAAATGAGGAAACTGAGGCCGGAAGGAGGTTAAGTGACTTGTCATAAAGGGTTCTGAAGGTGGTAAGGAGCAGTTATGAATTACTCTGGTTCTTTTGATGCCAAATCCAGTGTCCTTTCCACTGTATCAAATTGCATCATTTAGGGAAGAGAAAGAGAGGAGGAAATCCTCGCCCTTGAAGAGTTTATGATCTAAATGCTTGGAACATCCCTGCCCACCACACAGACCTTTCTTCATATGTTTCCTAGCTTCTGTCTTTATTTGCATATCCACTGCTTAGTGGGAAAGAAGGGGAATGAGTACATGGGAAGATGAAGGAAGAGGATGAGAAAAAGGCAGAGGTGGTAAAAGAGATGACAGCCAAGAGTTTGAAGAAATTTTTGTAGGCAAATGTTAAGCAAATGAGGCAGGATCTTCTAGAGGAGCTAATGAATGTAATGGCTAGAGCTCTGGATTTGGTAAGGGCCTATCACAAATGGAGAGCAGGGGGATCTGTATTCTCTTTTCGGCCACTAGGGAACAGTCCCATCTCTTTTCCTGAGAGAGGGCTGGGCATGGAGGATTATTCTCAAGGGGAGCTGTTAGACACCCCACGGGGAGGGAGGTGGGGCAGCAGGAGCTCCTTGTGTCTGGGGGCGAGGGTCCTGGCCTATTCTAGGGTCAGGCTTTTCCTAGCTCTTTAGTAAATCATGGCATCTCTTCCTCCCATCACTACTGTTCTCCCTCCCTTTATTGTTTCTGGGTCTTCCTTTGCCTCTCAACATACAGCCTTTCAGCTAGCTTGACCCTCTGGTTTTCAGCACCTCTCTGTGTGAGTATGTAGCCTCAAACTGTCATCTATCTATCTGTTTCTGTAACTCCTGGCATCTAAGTCTTACTTATTCATAATGTGTATTTATCTCAGTGACCCTCTGGGTCCTAGTATCTGTCTTAGTGACTATATATGTATGTCTCTAATGCCCTGAGTCTGTATTTTACGGTTTCAGTGGCTGTTTCTTTTTCTCCCTAGATCAGTGAGTATCTCCGACTGATTCTCATTGTGTTCTCTGTCCCTGTTTCCAGAATAAGGCATCAGGAGTTGCAAATTATTTTCTATTTACTGGAGAAGGTGCCATTAGCCTCCTGCTTCCTTCTAGAGAAAGGCATTTGCTGCTTAGTGACTATGAGAGGTAGGATGGGAAAGAGACCCTGGTAGGGCAATTATATATTCCTTGCCCATGTCTCTGGACTTCATGCCTAGCTTCCTTTCCAAAGGAATGACAAGCAACCCACAAATAGGAAGAAATTGGAAAAAAGATACTTCCTAAGAGGATTCCTTCTATCCCCATATCTTTGTTTCTCCCAGGTGGAAGAAAGAGGGTGGCTAGGGGACTTGGAAGGATATGGGTGGAATGAAAAAGCTCTGAGGAATAAGGGACTTTGAGGAACTGGAGATTTATCTAACTAGATCAGATATCCACTGCTCCCTCAATTCTCTCCATCCTTCCCTCTGCTCCAGGTCTCCCTCCTCCCATCCCCCTCTGTGGCAGCAGCCGTGTAATTTAAAGCTCTCTCTGTCGCCTCTAATGTGATCCTCTCGTTTTATTGACTCTCTCTGCCGTCTGTGGCGCCCCTTCACATCAATCTCTTCTCTAATCATACCACTGCCACTGCCTTCTCAGTCTTCCTTTGCCCCCCTCTCTCCCATTGGTCCTCCAAAGGCACTCACTCCTCTCTTCCACCCATTCCCTTCACCCAGGACACTCCCATCCACCCGAATCCTGGCAGTACTCCCTAAGGCTTCCTCATCTTTCTGTTATTTCTGCACTCTCGATCCCACAACTCCAACAGAGACAGTGCTGAGGCCTTCAAAGAGTCACCTTGTTTCTGCATGTGCAATCCAAGATATGCCCTAGAGTGGAGAAGAAGCCCTTAAGACCCAGGAATAGGTAGACAGAATGTAAAGGAAGAATTACAATAAGACATAGCATGAGATGATATTAAAGAGAGTGAGTCTGAGGTCCGACATTTCTCTATTTATGCTTCTCCTCCAAAAATATATCAGGAGGTTAGGGTAGGGTGGCATAGAGAAGGAAGAGGGGGAAAGTAAGAGATGAAAAATCATTGCTCTTCCTGAGGTTTGGTTGGAAGATGACGCAGATGAGGAGAGACCCCAGGGAAGAGGAGAGGGGGAGGAGAAGGGGACTAGGAAGGTGAAGGGGGGGAGGGATGCACTGAGGCAGAGATGAATTTGCAATTGAAATTATTTCCAGGGGAGGAGGAGGGATTGAGAAGAGATTTGCAATTTTAAACAGCTTGCCTACCAACAACCCTTTGCCCCTTTGGCCTCCATCTCACCCATACACTAGGCCAAGAGTGTAGGACTCCTTTAGCCAAGATGGGGAGTCCACTGCTCACTTTTCAATTCCTGAGAGTTCTACCTGAGAGTTGTTGAGAACATCAATAGGGTTTATGGACTAAGGTCAATATTTCCCACTGGACAGTACTGGGAACAAGTCAGGAGTAGGACTGTTGTTTTCCTCCTGGGTAAAGCCTACCTGTGTGCTAGTTGAAGCTGAGGAAGCCCAGGGTAAGGTGGACTTACTAACGTTGGCAAATGGACTTTGACACCCTGTCCTTGAGGAGTTCCATAAAAGAAAAACTGTTCTACAACTTGTAGGCTCCTTCACCCACTCTACCAGGCACCTTGGGAATAGTTCTGCCCTCTGTCCATGGTCTCCTTTTTTCCCTCCCTGCCCTTGCCTCCTCCCCTCCCCATACTCTGCCTTTCCTAGGTGCTTATTTGCATATTCATTAGCATGCTAATCCAGCCCTATTCAGAACTCCTTAATGTCCCTGATGTCACACCTGGCTGCCTCCCCTCTACCAAGAACAGGAGAAAACACCCCTCCTTGCCCCACCCAAAAAAGTGTGGGAGGATAGGGTCCAAAAAGGACCATACCTAAGATCTCATCCCCAATCTAGGAGTTTGAGAGGTGAAGGTTAGTTGTCTAAGGAAGTAAAGAATTTTTGTAGTTCTAGTATCCCCTGGCAAATTTCTTCTTACCATCTTTCTTCTTCATTCTGAAACATGTCTGGCTTGGGGTCTCTCTGGCTTCGCTCTGGATACTAAAGGTTCAAGAGTTTGGAATCACCAATAATCTAGAGTTGGAAAAAGTTAATATAGAATTTTTGAAATGCTGAGAACATAAGGGGAAGCTCAATATGTTGGTAATGGGAAAAGAAATTTGCCCTGCTGGTGAACTTGTGACAGGGTATAAGTAATACTAGACCAGGACTTTGCTGATCTGGTCCGAGGTATCTCAGTGGGATTCCCTTTCCTTGATCCTGGGCTGGGGGGGGGCAGGGAGTCATCCCCCAAGATAGTAGAAATTTCAGTTTGTCACTTTTATGAGTGATATGGCAAGAAGATACCCCCCTTCTTTTTTTTTTTTTCCCTAGAGGTCAGAGGTAGCTAGAGCCTGGAGCTGATAAGCTTTTGACTTAAAATCGAGTAAGTTTCTGCCATTAATTCTCAGGACCTATAGTAGCTCTCATAAGCCCTGGGGAGATGGTAGTGGTTTGAATACCAATGGAAATCAGCCCATGTTCTGTCTTTGGTGAGTAGACCACAGGATGCCAACCCTAGGTATATTGTAGGAGGTCCAGCCTGGGGAAATGAGCTCTGATAATGTAAAATATCCTGAGGCTCTTTCTCAAAAATAAGATCTAAATACAGACAGATATGTGTCTTCCCCCATCTATCTCACTTCCATGTTCTCTCATCTTTTCTATCTACATCCTGTCCCTCACCAAAACCTCTCATCTTTCTTTCAGGGTGCTGGCTGTCACGCTGAGATGACCCCCCAGTGCTCCTCCGTCTGCCATGGCCACCCTTAACTCACATTCCACTGCTAGCAACACCTCTACCCCTGGTCATAATGCCCCGTCCCCGCCTCAGGACCCTTCCTCTGGCACATCCTTCGAACCTGCCACCAAAGATCCCCCCACTGCTGCCACCAGTGACAGCATGAGGCCCTCAGAGCCTGGGGGGCACCAGCTTGAGCCAGGCTGTGGCCTAGTCCCACCAAAGGAGACCAGGGAGCATCCACTGGAACCAGGCTGTGGCCTAGTCCCACCAAAGGAGCTTGGAGCAGAGGAGGAGGAGGAGGATGAAATACAGGAGGAAGAAGCAGGGCCCCCTCCCCAGGACCTGAGTGACCACTTGCTCTTCACCGAAGATGGTGCCACCTATCTCCTGGCTGAACTGCCTCTCTCTGGCAACAGTGAGCTCCTGTTACCAAAGGGCTTCCCCTGGGGTGAGTCAGGGACTGAGGAAGAGTCCAGCCTGCCCCTCCGAGTCTGCCCATCGCCCACTCACCTCACTGTCCTCCACGTCCAACACGGTTTTGACCGAATTCAAGGCTTTAGCTCTTCTGACCAAATTCTGCCCCATAATACCTCAGCGCCACCTCCGGCTGCCTGCGAGGGAGGGGATGGAGCCTTCCGGAGCTACCGGCCAGCCCCACTCCCCCCCAGAGATCCCAAAGATGGCCCCATAGGGAGTGGGAATGGAGACCACAGGGAGCTCTTCTGGCTCTGCTTGCTGTGCCGCCTGGGGTTCAGTGGGCCCAAAGCTTTTGTGGCTCATGCTCAGTCCCATGGGGTAAAGCTGGCCCCAGTTCAGCACCAGAGCCTGCCAGGCTGCCCAGCTGTAATACAAGAGGGGAAAGAGGGGTCCACAGTGCTTGTCAGTTTTCTGGAACCAAAAATCTCTCCTGGCCCCCTGCCCTCCGCACCCCTCAGCAGTGGAGCAGTGGGTGGAATGGTGAATGTAGCCCAGGATGGGGACAGCCCCCCTGAGGCAGGAAACCAGGGCCCTCCACTGCCCCTTGAGGAAGACATGGTCCCCAGCCCACCTTCCCCACCTGCCACCCCAACTGCCTGGGACCCCAACCCAACCCAAGCCAAAGAATCGCCAGTGGCAGCAGGCGAGGCAGGGCCAGATTGGTTCCCTGAGGGGCAAGAGGAGGATGGGGGACTTTGTGCCCCACTCAACCAAAGTTCACCCTCCCCCAAAGATGGGGGGGCTCTCCTGGCCCGGGCTGACTCACCTGAAGATCCCAATGACCCACCCCGGCCCTATCGGCTGGCTGATGACTATGCCCCAGCCCCACCGGCCTTCCAGGGTCTCAGTCTCTCCAGCCACATGTCCCTGCTACACTCTCGAAATTCCTGTAAGACACTCAAGTGTCCCAAGTGCAACTGGCACTATAAGTACCAGCAGACCCTTGATGTTCACATGAGGGAGAAACACCCAGAGAACAACAGTCACTGCAGCTACTGCAGTGCAGGAGGGGCACACCCCCGCCTTGCGAGGGGCGAGAGCTACAACTGTGGCTATAAGCCCTATCGATGCGAGGTCTGCAACTACTCCACCACCACAAAGGGGAATCTCAGCATCCACATGCAGTCTGATAAGCACTTGGCCAACCTCCAGGGTTTTCAGGCTGGCCCAGGAGGTCAGGGGAGTCCCACCGAGGCAGCACTTCCAGCCCCAACTGGGGAAAAGGAGCCCAAGGCCAAGTCTTCCTGGCAGTGCAAGGTATGCAGCTATGAAACCAACATTTCTAGGAATCTTCGCATCCATATGACCTCAGAGAAGCACATGCAGAACGTTCTGCTGCTGCATCAGGGGCTGCCTCTGGGGCTGCCTCCTGGGTTGGTGGGACCAGGCCCCCCCCCACCTCCTGGAGCGACCCCTGCCAACTCCTCTGAGCTGTTCCAGTACTATGGGCCACAGGGACTAGGCCAGCCACCAGCCCCTTTGCCTGGCCCAGGGCTGAGGCCAGACAAACCCTTGGAGGCCCAGCTACTCCTCAATGGCTTTCATCACCTGGGGCCACCTGCCCGGAAATTCCCCACTCCTGGTAAGATTCCCCTATTTGGTTCCCTATTTTTTTTTCCTTTTCCCCATCTCTCCATCTCTCCTTTCCTACTCTCTAAACACTTCCATCATTTTCCAACCTCCCTGCCCCTTCTTCTCTTCCCAGTTGTCATCTTCCCCTTTTCTGGTGTCACCTTCATGCTCACATTAATCCAGTTTCTAGCCTAGTACAAGCCCATTGCTTCCCCTGACCTGCCTGCTTCTCCCTGTTCTCTAGCCCCTGGCAGCCTTTCCCCGGAACCCCGCCTTCCCCCAAGCCAGCTCTTGGGGCCCAGCATGGATGGCCTGCCCACATCACCCCCACCAGATGACGACCCATCGCTGAAAGTGTTCCGATGCCTGGTGTGCCAGGCTTTCAGCACAGACAGCCTAGAGCTGCTGCTGTACCACTGCACCCTGGGCCGAAGCCTCCCTGAAGCTGAGTGGAAGGAAGTGGCTGGAGACACTCATCGCTGCAAACTCTGCTGCTATGGCACACAGCTCAAGGCCAACTTCCAGCTCCATCTCAAGACCGACAAGCATGCCCAAAAGTACCAGCTAGTGGCCCACCTGAGGGAGGGCGGTGGGGGTGCTCCTGCCCCAGTCCCCCCTTTGGGGGAGGGTGCTCCCTATGGGCCAGTCTCTCCCCTACATCTTCGCTGTAACCTTTGTGACTTTGAGTCTAACAGCAAGGAGAAAATGCAGCTCCACACCCGGGGTGGTACACATGAGGAGAACAGCCAAGTCTACAAGGTTAGGAGTGGGGGAAGGAGGAGAGGGAAACACAATGACAATCCCAGAGCAAAGAATGAGGGAAGTGGGGGGCTGAAGTTAAGTGGACAGAGGTGTGAGGAAAGAAGATGAAGAGGTACAGGGTGGGAGAAAATGATCAGACATAGAGAGAGGCTAGGGATACAAGCAGGTAAACATTCAAGTGAGGACCTAGGCTGGGAGACTAGAAAACAGTGGAATCAAGGAAGGATGGAGCTGTGGATGGGAGAGAGAAGGGAAAGATAAAGGCGGTGGCCACAAAATGGAAAAAGAAGGGATTGAAAAAACAAGGGCAGAATCCAGGGAAGGGGAGAGTTTTCGCTAGAGAGGTCTTGAGAGGGGCTAGAAAGGGGGATTGGAGCTAGAGAAGGGCCTTCCTTTGAGGGTGGGCAAGGGAGGACATTAGGATTTGGTGCTTATCTTCAAGGCCTAAACTGTTTCCTTTCCTTCCAGTTCCTGCTGGAGATGGAAGGGGCAGAGACAGGAGTGGAATTGGGACTTTACCGATGTCTTCTGTGTGCATGGGAGACGCCTTCCCGATTGGCTCTGTTGCAACACCTTCGGGCATCTGCCCACCGAGATGCCCAGGCCCAGCGACGACTTCAGCTGCTGCAGAGCGGCCGTGTAGCTGAGGAAGGAATCTCAGCCCTTCAGAGCATCCTGTGCTTCAGCCACGGCCAGCCCAGAACTCCTGGTAAGGATGAGTGGGGATGGGGAGCAGGGGCTGTGAACAGAGGAAGAGAAAGGGTGGGGCACTGCCTATTTGGGATAGGGACTAGGTGTTCTTATGGAGGTAAGAGAGAAGCCCGGGTGGCAAGGCGAGGGAATAGGTGTGTGGTGGGGCAAGGAGGATGGAAGGTTGTGGAACAGGAAGCAAGAAGATAAAAGGAATTATAGACAAAGGAGGCAAGAAGGGCTCAGGGGAAAGAATGGGAACATGAAAACAATGGAGGCTCGCAAGTAGGGAGCACTAAGGGATGACAAAAGGCACAGGAGGTAGGACATAAAGGGAGAGAGGGCTGTGGGGTTGCTAGGTGGAGGGCCAAGAGTCGAGGAATTGCAGCAGAAACACTTTCTCACTTGTAACAGGAAGTGAGTTTCCTAGCAGCACTAGGGGAGGAGTTGGGGGGAGTGGGCTGGACCTAATGAGGGAGGAGAAAGGGATGGAAAAAGTTTAATGGTTTACTGGGGGTAATGGGAGCTGTAGGGAAGGGACACACATTGGGCCTCTGATCCCCACAATCCTGGTAGAGGAAGAGGCTTACATACAAGCTTTCCAGAATCTCCCCCTGCCTTTTGGCCAGGTTCAGGGCCTTGAGTGGTGTCCTCCTGTGTCCTCAGCCTCATATAGGATGGGCCGACAGTTAAGATAGGGGCCATAGACCACAAGCTAAATGAAAGGAAGATGAGATCAGGAGGGCCGTGGGTGCTGGCTCTCCAGAGACAAAGATGGGCAAGGGCGCTGGCAGCAGGAACCAGGGAACAGGCTGCATTGACTGGTGCTAATTGAATTGCCAATATGCTGGCTGGAGTTAAGTGCCGGAGGGGCTCGGATCAATAGCTAACGATCTTGGCGCAGGGCTGAATGGAGTTAAGGAACTTTAACACTTTAATTAGGCCGCCAACGAAAATAAATTCCTACACGTCTGTCAATTCTTTCTCTCGTGGTAATCTCCTCTCTAGGCCCAGCATCCCCTGCTTTCTGTTTTCTATCTGCTACTTCCTGAAATCACCCCATCTGAGAACCTCGGCCTTTCCACAGTTCTTTGCCCAATCCAATGTCCCGTGTCCCCCGTCCCCCCCACGGGCTACATCATTAGAATGGGGAAGAGTCAGAAGGCTTAAACTTCAGGCCTGGCTCTGCTACTGATGAGCCATGTGGCCTTGGGGAATCACAGCAACTCCCATTTATATAAACTGTAAGGGTGTACAGAGTACCTTGTGAGGGAGATAGTGTGGGCTCTTCTATATGAGGAAACAGAGGACAGGCAAGGAAGGAAACTTACCTGTAATCACACAATTAGTGTCAGGGGCAGGTGCTGAATCCATCCATCCTTTCCCTTTCTTATCCTCTTTCTATTGTACTAAAGTCACTTTTCTTATCTTCAGTTTTCTTATCCATAAAAGGAGGGGGTTAGATTAAGTGATTTTCCTACTCTAAAGTTCTGTGATTCTTCTTCATCCCTTCCCAGTCCTCACACTTTTTCTACTTGATATGATTCTTCCATTTTCCTAACCACTTTGACATTATTTGCCTATTGGTTTGTCCCAAGCTTGTCCAATTTATTCCTCCTTTCTTTTCCCTCCCCTTTTCTCACTTGACCCTTGCCATCTCATTAAGTTGGTTTTTCTCTCCTACCCCTGTACAGGGAAAGGTCCTATTACTGCCCATATGGAGCCACCCATTGCAGAGAAAAACACTCAGAACAAAGCCCCACCACTAGGTGAGTTGCTCATGCCTTCCTCTCTCCCAAATCACCCCTCCTCCCACAAGTCTCACAACCAGGACAATCTCAAAGCTGTACAGTAGCTGATCCCTCTGGAGGAGGCTTCTGGACCTTGAAGGGAAAGACCACCTTAAGAGGGAAGAGCCAAGAAGTTAGTCGAAGGGAGGGATACTGGGTTTGGGGTGAACAAGAGAAGGCTGTGTTGTATGACGGTACGCCTCAGTCTGGCAGGCTTGTTGAGGTTTTGCCATTTCTCCCCTTTGGATCCTGAATCCTCCCTTGGCCTGAGCAAAAAGAGACATGTTCTGTATGGCCCCTGACTCTAATTTGATTTGGCCATCTGTAGCCTACTTTCACAAATATGAACATGTCTCTACTGGAGACATTCCAGCAGCCTCCGTAACAGTCATTTCTAGGGAAGGAGGCAGTGCTAAAAGAGGTCCTGCTATACATTCAGGGGTAGGGATGGATGGGAGAGAGAGAGAGAGAGAGAGAGAATGTGTGTGTGCATGCAGAGGTGTTTCTCTTTGAGAAATCAAATGAGATAATAGTTGTTTTGGTTTCTTTTTTTGTTTTTGGTTTTTTTTTTTAGTGAGGCAATTGGGGTTAAGTGACTTGCCCAGAATCACACAGCTAGTGAGTGTTATGTTTCTGAGGCCAGATTTGAACTCAGGTACTGCTGACTTCAGGGCCGGTGCTCTATCCACTGTGCCACCTAGCTGCCCTAATAATATTTGTAAAGTGCTTAGCACAGGGCCTGGCACATAGGTGTTATATAAATGCTTATTCTCTTCTCCTTACCCTTCTCTTCTGTACTACACTAATCCTGAAGGTGGTGGGAAGAGATGAAAAAAAGATAAATAAAATAAACTGGGTTTCCCACACTCATTCTGAACCTCTTTTCCTTCAATCCTCAGCTTCTGAAGAGGCAGAAAATAGGACTGGCCCTTCGGGGGACAATACCAACCAGACTGTGGTCAGAATTGGGATGACTGGGAAGGGTCTGGTGGGGAAGGTGGCTTTATTAGGGAATTATATGATTGAAAAGGCAGAAGGAGAAATTCTAATCTGTATAGAATTCTACAGAAAAGGAATTATAGGCCAAGAACAGACTCACACTCTTTAAATCAGTGGTTTTATTTCCCTTAATATGTTCACATACAATAATACTAGCTAACATTTACATAAGACTTTAGTTTACAAACTCCTCTCCCATACAGCATAAGATCAACTGCTTTTATTCAGCCACAGCCAGAGAAAAATTTAAAGAGTTATAATGGCCTTAGATGTGAAAGAGTAAAGCGAGATGAGAGGGAAAAGGTGGAGATAGCTCGAGAGAGAAAGTCTATGAGAAGCTGACCTGGGATTCAGGAGGAGGTGGGGGAAGAGGGGGAAGGGGAGAAAAAAGCAGGCAGGGAGGGGGAATGAAGGGGAGAAGAGCTACCAGAGGCTGAGGGAAAGGGATTCCCAGCCTCAAGGGAAAAGTCCTGGGATCACAGTCTTGGGGCCCTGAAGGCTACAGTCTCTCTTCAGGTATTGTCCAGGCATCACTTTTCTCTACTTCCTGGGGAGGGAGAGGCAGGAGGAGCCCCAGGGAATGGAGGCAGGCATCGGGAGGCTTTGGGGGCTATATATTTAATATGGCTTCTCTTGATTCCAGAAGTAAAAGAGGGAACATGAGGAACAAAGCTGCCATTTCTCCAATTTGAATCTGGACAAATCTAAATTTTAAACAGCTCTCTAGCTTCCCAGAGCAGTCAGGCCCCCCAAAGTGGTGACTGCTATATCCCAGGGCAGGGGTAGCAACAACAGATGCATTGTTGTGGTCACTTTTGCTGTGTCCAGCAGGTCCAATCCCTGGCCTTCTTAATCTGGGTTCGGTGCGGTGAGAACGAGTAGTTGGCTCAAGGTCTCTCCACCTACTTGTGCCTTTCCCTTGAGGCATCTGCCAACCACTTCCCCGTCACCAAAAAGCAAATAACCCAAGTGATGAGTTCTGAGCTGTATGAGCAGAGGTAGGCCCAAGCTTTGGGAGCACAGGCCTGATACAGAGAATGGAGACCTAGTGCCTAGTACAGTGCTAGACACTTTGATGACAGAAAATGAGAGAGAGGAATCTCTCGCTGCTTCATCGTACAAACCATACATACAGAGCTCTCACCCTCTCTTCCATCACCTCCATTTCCACTCCCCTTTCCACGCCCCTTCAGAGGGGGAGGAATGGATGGAAGGGGGGACCTGAGCCAGAGGGAGGAGACCAGGCCTGGGCCACTGGCCACTGGGGGAGCTGTGGTGTTTGTTTACAAAAAAAAAAAAAAGGGAAGAAGGAAAAGAAAGAGTGGGAGCTGAGCCGATACGAGGGAGGATGAGTGGGCTCCGAAACAGGCAGGTATGGCCTCCTCCTAAAACAACTCTGACTGCAGCAAGTGCTGAAAGGACAATGGGCAGGGGTAGGCCATGCTTCTGGGTTGGGAAAATGCCCATAGGGCCTAAGAGGAGAAAGGCCAGAGCCAGGAAGGGAAAAAGAGAGGAAGGTGTAGGCGTAGGCTGGGAATAAGGGGAAAAATCCAGATTAAGTGGGGCTGTCAGGCCAGGGGGAAGGGGACTTGCTGGGGGGCAGAGGGAGATGGAAAGAGGAAGATAAACCTAGAAGAAAGGAAATAAGAGAAGGACGAGAGCAACAGGAAAGTAGAGTATGGAGGAGTAGCAGGAAGAGAGGGCAAACAAAGAGGGAAGGAGAGTCTGCAGCTTAAAGCAGGCCTCAGTCCCTGCCCCCAGGGAAGGAGCAGGGAGGTGCCAGTTCCCTGAGCCCCTGGAGAGGTGTGGGCTGAAGGTTTTTTGTGATATCTTCCTGTAAGGTTTTCTCATAAGCTCATAAAGCTCTCTCAGTGATTCACCCCAAAGGGCTCTGAGGTTCTAGGTTTATTAGCCCAGGTGTTCTCAGGGCGTGAGAACTCCTGCCTTCAGGTTAGCTTTTTCACAGAGGAAGGAGCCCAGCAGTGTATTCTCTCCTTCCTTATGCCCTTCCCACTCACCTATCCATCCACCCAGGTGTACTGCTGTCCATACTGCAGCTTTATCAGCCCTGCCAATGAGCAAGTACAAGCCCACACCATATCCCAGCACGCCGTGCAGCCCAAGTACCGGTGTCCACTGTGCCAGGAGCAGCTGGTGGGACGTTCTGGTCTTCACTTCCACCTTAGCCACCTGCACAATGTAGTACCTGAATGTGTGGAAAAACTACTTCTGGTGGTGAGTGCCAGGCAAGAACCCCTGGGAGTCCAGTGCCTTCTTTTCCACCCCTAACACTGCCATGCAGGAAGGGGAAAAGGAGGCATTCTGGGGTGCTGGGATGGGGAGGGTAATAACATGCCTCACCTTTCCCTCTATAGTAATTAGTTAATTAGCAAGCTCATCCTTCTCTTTTTCTGGCCTGGGGGGCCACATTTTCCCCCTCCCCTGCTTGCATATTTCATCTTACCATTGAAATGAAAAATCAGCATCTGCCCTGACTGACCATAGATTTTGAGGCCAGTTCTGCATTAGGGGTAGAAAACAAACCAGATGAAGGGCCCTGGCCAAGGCAGGAACTGGGCAGGCACTAGAGGGGAGGCTGACCCTCTGGTAATGGGAGGCAGGCAGGAGTCTTGGGTGGAAGGGTTGGAACTATCTGGACTCTTTCCTTTTTAGGCCACAACTGTGGGAATGACCTTTTTGACCAAAGTGCTGCCTGGGACCAGTCTCAGTCCCATAGGGGATAGCCCTGAACCCCCGACTCCTGGAACTGAACCAGTATCCACTGGAGACTCGGCAGCGGGTAAGGGAAAAAGCAGCGAGTTTGGGGGATAGTTGGTAGGGGGAGGAGGTCAAGGGTATATGAATTGAGGAGATAAGATTAAGGAGACTAGAGTTGGGGGCTGATGTAGCCCTCGGTCTACCCTAATCCACTTCTCTCCTTCCTTAGGAGAAGGTCCCAACCTGATCCCAGAAGTCAGTCCAGACCCTCTACCAGAGCCTCCTCCACCTTCAGCTGAGGCCCCTGACAAACCTCTGACAAGCCCTGAAAAGCCCCTTTCTCCGGCCCCTTCCCCACTCCCTCAGCCTGACCCCCAGACTGAAGAAGCATCCCCCACAATGCCTACAGTAGAAGAGGAAGATGGACCCACAGGGGAGTCTCGCCCAGCAGAGCCAGCCCCTGCTGATGCCCGACATCCCCTGTCCTACCGTAAGACCACCAACTTTGCTCTAGACAAGTTCTTAGATCCTGCCCGGCCCTACAAGTGCACAGTATGCAAGGAGTCTTTCACCCAGAAGAACATCCTCCTAGTACATTACAACTCTGTCTCCCATCTGCATAAGATGAAGAAAGCTGCCATCGACCCCTTGGCCCCAGCCAGAGGGGAAGGTGGTGCGCCCCCAACGGCTGCCGCTGCCACAGACAAACCCTTCAAGTGCACTGTCTGCCGCGTCTCCTACAACCAGAGCTCCACCCTGGAGATTCACATGCGATCAGTCCTGCACCAGACTCGGTCCCGGGGAGCCAAGGCTGATGCCAAGGCTGAGGGACCAGAGAGGAGCCAGGAAGAGTCCAAGGAGGCTGAGCCTGATGGGGTGGGGGGCACAGAGAAGAAGCCATCTGAGCCAGGCAGCTTGGTTTCCGGGCTGCCCTTCCTGTCCCCACCACCACCACCCTTAGACCTACACCGTTTCCCAGCCCCTCTTTTCACTCCCCCAGTGCTGCCCCCGTTCCCCCTCGTACCCGAGTCTCTGCTCAAGCTCCAGCAACAGCAGTTGCTCCTGCCCTTCTACCTGCATGACCTCAAGGTGGGGCCCAAGTTGGCACTGGCAGGGCCCACCCCTGTGCTATCACTGCCACCCACCACCCCCCCACCCCCACCACCCCCCCCCAAGGCTGAGCCAGCGGAGCGGGAACGAGAGCAGCCCCCGGTGGCCGAGGAGAGAAGTGAGGCAGGGCCTTCCTCCCCACCCTGCCAGCCTCCCAACGACGCGGCCCGGACAGCGGCCAAGGCCCTGCTGGAGAACTTTGGCTTTGAGCTTGTGATCCAGTACAACGAGGGGAAGCAGCCAGCACCGCCACCCCCAACCCCACCCCCTCCTGAGGCCCTGGGGAGCGGGGACAAGCTGGCTTGTGGAGCCTGTGGGAAGCTCTTCTCCAACATGCTTATCCTCAAGACCCACGAGGAACACGTCCATCGTCGCTTCCTGCCCTTTGAAGCCCTCAGCCGCTATGCTGCTCAGTTTCGAAAGAGCTATGACAGCCTGTATCCACCCCCAGCAGAACCTCCCAAGCTTTCAGACGGTCCTGTGGACCCACCTGTTCCCCCGCTCTGCCCACCCTTCCTGGTGTCCGAACCTGAGGCTGGGGGCAGCCAGCCCACTGAGGAGCACCTCCGGCCAGGAGGACGCTGGCCCCAAGAGGAGGAAGACTGTGGGAAGAGTCCTCTTCCCCCACCTGCTCCTACAGGCCGCCGCTTCTCCCGCACAAAATTCACTGAATTCCAGTCCCAGGCCCTGCAGTCCTTCTTTGAGACCAGTGCCTATCCCAAAGATGGGGAAGTGGAGCGGCTGGCAGGGCTCTTGGGCTTGGCCAGTCGCGTGGTGGTGGTGTGGTTCCAGAACGCTCGGCAGAAAGCCCGAAAGCACGCAGGGGATGGGGGTCCAGTGACAGCCATGGGAGCAGGGGCAGGATCCTCAGCCTGCAAACGCTGCCATACTACCTTCTCTTGCATCTTTGAGCTGGTTCGGCACCTCAAGAAATGCTACGATGACCAGCCACCGGAAGAGGAGGAAGAGGGGGAAGAAGAAGAAGAAGACGCGGCCGAGGAAGAAGAACCAGAGGAAGAGCAGGCCCCAGAACCCCCGGCTGGCCTGGAGGCTCCAGCACCAGGATCTCCAGAGGGAGAAGAACTCTGCCCGGCAGAGACCGCCAAGCCAGCAGAAAGAGAGACAGAGGGGACAGCCCCAGCCTCCCCCTGCCCAGCCCACACCTGCGACCAGTGTGCTGCTGCTTTTGCCAGCCAGGACCTCCTGAGCAGCCACCAAAGACTCCATTTTGTGCCACCAGTGCCCCCTGGTGCCCCTCCACACCTCTTGGACCTGCCCCTGTTAGTGTTTGGTGAGCGTGGCCCCTTGGTGCCAGGGCCCCCACCAGCCTCAGGGCCTCCTCTCAAACGCAAGCATGAAGAAGGCAGCCTGTCACCAACAGGAAGTGAGGCTGGGGGACCCGGGGAGGGCGAGCCACCTCGAGACAAGCGTCTACGTACTACCATCCTGCCTGAACAGCTGGAGATCTTGTACCGCTGGTATATGCAGGACTCCAACCCGACCCGCAAGATGCTGGACTGCATCTCTGAGGAGGTGGGGCTCAAGAAGCGGGTGGTGCAAGTTTGGTTCCAGAACACCAGAGCCCGGGAGCGGAAGGGTCAGTTTCGAAGCACTCCTGGAAGTGTGTCCAGCCCAGTCATCAAGACCTCTGCCCCACCAACCCCTGTCCCCTTCACAAAATTTGGCCTCTTAATGGGCAAAGTGGAAGATGGAGTAGGAAAGGAAGTCTCCAAGCGAGAAGCACCCACTGCCCCCTATGCAACAGCCTCTCCCACTGCTGGCCCTGCATCCTTTCTACCACCTGGCAAAGAAGCTAAGGAGGCCAGTGCCACCCCAACACCCCCACTGCCTCCCCCACCTCCTGAGGAAGAGGTGCCAGAGGAGCCACTCAAGGCATCTCCAGAGAGTGAGGTCTGCAGCCCATCAGGAGGGGACCTGAGTGACTCATCTGCTTCCAGCCTGGCTGAGCCAGAATCACCTGGTGCTGGGGGTGGGGGTGGCAGCGGGGCTGGAGGTGGGGCTGGGACCCCCGACGGTCTAGGACAGCGGCGCTACCGGACCCAGATGAGCAGCCTGCAGCTGAAGATCATGAAGGCCTGCTATGAGGCCTACCGCACTCCAACCATGCAGGAGTGTGAAGTGCTCGGAGAAGAGATTGGGCTTCCAAAGAGAGTTATCCAGGTGTGGTTCCAGAATGCCCGTGCCAAGGAAAAGAAGGCCAAATTGCAAGGGGTGGGAGGAGGTGGGGGAGGCAGCAGCAGTGAAGGCCCCATGGGAGCTCCCCGAACTGACTGCCCCTACTGCGATGTCAAGTATGATTTCTATGTCTCCTGCCGGGGCCATCTGTTCTCCCGTCAGCATCTGGCCAAGCTGAAGGAGGCCGTCAGGGCCCAGCTCAAGAGTGAAAGCAAGTGCTATGACTTGGCTCCTGCCCCTGAGGCTCCCCTGGTCCCTAAGGCCCCTCCACCCACCACGACTGCCACGCTCCCCCTAGGGGCTGCCAGCACTCTGCCTCGACTGGCCCCTGTGCTCCTATCTGGTCCTGCTCTGGCTCAACCCCCACTGAGCAGCTTAGCCCCCTTCAATTCAGGTAAGTGGGGAGGAAGGGGATGACTGCCTTTTGTCAGAAACCTCAGCCCCTTCCAAAGTGCCCTCTTTCTCCTCCATCTGTCTGCTCCCTTTCCCTCTGGGCTTCCCTTCCTACCTCTACCCTGTTTTGTACTCTTCCTTTGATCCTGTTTCTGGGGCAGAGGGGAAATGTAACTCACTGGTTCCATGGGGAGTGATGGTAGGGCACACTAGAGGCCAGTGGCAAATTGGGATTCTGGTGGGGAAGGAGACACCACCATTAGGGGGGCCCTCCATCAGTGGCCTGCTCTGTCTCCTTGCTTAACCCCTTCTCTTCTTCCCAGGCCCTGCGGCTTCTTCGGGCCTCATCAGTCTCGCTGCAGCCGCCTCTGTTTTGCCGGCTACTACAGTTGTCCAGCCCAGTCCAGCCCGCCCCTTACCTCAGAGAACAGATCAGACCAACTCCACTGCAGTGGACCCTGTTCCAGGGCCTCTTGCTGAACCTTCAGGGGATGACATCCCCAGTGAGCGTAAGTGTGCTGCCGCTGGGGTCACCACTTCCTCTACTGACGCCCTCAAGAACCTCAAGGCACTGAAGGCCACAGTACCCACCCTACTAGGGGGCCAGTTTCTGCCCTTCCCCCTGCCAACAGCAGGGGGGGCTGCCCCCCCAGCCGTCTTTGGTCCACAGCTTCAAGGGGCCTACTTCCAGCAGCTCTATGGTATGAAAAAGGGGCTATTCCCAATGAACCCCGTGATACCTCAGACCCTCATTGGGCTGCTCCCCAATGCCCTCCTCCAGCCACCACCCCAGCCCCCTGAGCCTGCGGCCACAGCTCCCCTGAAGCCACCAGAGCTGCACCTCCCCAGTGAGGGTGATCCCGGGGAAGCTGATGAATTGCTAGCGGGTACCACTGGCATTTCCACCGTGGATGTGACCCACCGCTATCTGTGCTGCCAGTGCAAGATGGCATTTGAGGGGGAGGCACCTGCTGCTGCCCACCAGAGGTCCTTCTGCTTCTTTGGAAGGGGTCCCGGGGCTGGTGTGCCCCCTCCTCTCCGAGTACCCATCTGTACCTACCACTGCCTGGCGTGTGAGGTGCTGCTGAGCGGGCGGGAGGCCCTGGCAGCACATCTGCGCTCCTCAGCGCACCGGCGCAAGGCGGCCCCTCCTCCACCCCCAGGAGGCCAGCCTGTCACCAACGCCACGGCTTTTGCCAAAGAGGAAGCAAGATTACCTCACACGGACTCCAACCCAAAAACTACTTCTACCTCTACACTTCTAGCTTTATAAACAGAGAAACCAAGATAGGGGAAGAGAGAAGGGCTCTTCAGCTCTTCCTGCATACCCCACGGGGTTCCTGGTGGGAGCTCAAACCCCCCACCCATGCCCCACGGCTCTGCCCATCCTGGGGGAGTCTCCAGACTTCAACCCTCAGTGGGCTTCACACACCCCACCTCCAGCAGTGTCCTGCCTCCTCCCCCAACACAGACACATAACCTGGCTCCTAGACTCCCTACAAACATACCCCTATCCACCCCGATTCTTACACGTACACTTACACAGCCTGCCTCCCCACATATATACACATACACACACCTTCCATCCTCACGTCCTGCCTTCCCCAACATTCTCGTGGTCTCCAAAGGCCTCCTGCTTCTTCCCTACTATGTCCCCAGTCACATGCACCTATCCAACTCAAGTCCTCCGGTACTGTGCTACTGACTGAGAAACGCCAAAAAGAGAGAAAGAAAACCCAAGAGGACGAAGGGGGAAGGAAAAAAATATATACCAGTCTCCTCTCCCCTCTCCTGCCTCCTTCGTCCAGAGCGCTACACCAGTCACAAACTTTCCAAGCTTCCAACTGGCCAGCCCCCATCGTTGGGGCCCAGGATGGGTAGGGAGCCTTGGAATTCTAACCAAACGAGGTGGGGCAGGAAGAGGGGTTCCCTACTCCCCTGTTTCCCCTCCCTCTCCAGCAGGGGAACCTACGTAGCCTGGACTCTTGAGGAAGCCGCTGCCAGGAGCCCCTGTGCCCTTCTCCTTCCTACACCCCAGAACTGCAGTAACTTATTCTCAAAGGCTTTAAACACAGAGATCCTCTCAGCAGCCGTGGGCCAGCCCCTGGTCCCAGGCCTGCTACCATTGGGCCCAGCCTCCGGGACCCGGTGCCGCCCACCAACGGCAAATCCAAAGTTCTTTAAAAAACTGAGACACACACACAACCAAAAAAGAGAGAGCAAGAGAGAGCGTACGCACGAGAGAGAGAGATGGAGAGACCAGAGGAATGAACTAAAGAAAAATAATAAACTTGAAAAACACAGAAAAAAACCCAACAGAAAACCCTTCCACCAAACAAATTGGTTTTTCCTGTTTGTGTCAATGTTTTGGTTCTTTAGATTTTAAAAATCCTCTTGTGTTAAGGGTTGTTTTTTAAACCTCCCCATTTCTTTGGAAGAACAAATGGTTTTTAGCCCCTGAAATGGTTGTTAAGCGCCTCATGGGACTGAGAATAATGTCACCCTATCTTTTCGCCTCCTGTGTTACAGACACTGTGTATTTAAGAGGAAAGGTAAAATCCCGACATGTATAAGAAACTGTTATCACCAAAAAGCTCTTTCCCAGAGATAGAAGAGGGACTCTTGGAAACCTGTCCAGAAAAATGTGGATGGATGTGACAAATTGGTTTGTGAATCCTAGCTGTCCTTTCCTCCAACCCGTTTTACTTCCTTCCTAAACCTCAACTCCTGTTCCTACTTCTTGATACCTCCCCCATAATCCCCACTCCCTAAAGTACCTCATTCTCCATCCTCTTTCTTTCCCCTTCACACACTATCTCCAGGTCTTTACACTCATCACTTCACATCACATCACAGCCTGTATCTTCCATTGCTCAGCAGCTGTTCAGCTGTCAAGGGGAACTTAAAGGTGTTAGAATATGCCCATCAGACCACAGGGACCTGTTGTCCAATTGAGGGAGCTATTAGGAGAATAAATGATGGCTTAAGCACAAGACAGGAGCTCCTCTCTTTAAAATAGATAATTTTTATAAGCTCACATGGTGGTGACGGACCAAGAGGCAGATGGTAGGTCTTGGTAAAGGAAAAGTCCTCACCTATAAATTTTTTGGGCCTCCTGATTTTCTTCTATCCCTTCTCCTGAATCTCTGCCCCTTTTCTTGTCCTCTGTTCTAACACTTTTCCTTTCTTCTCTACCTCCCATTTAACCATTCAACCCTCTCCCCAATTAAATCCAGCTTTAGGTTTTCCAGTCAATTAAAATTTCCATGCTAAACATCAGAGTTATGGCTATGTAGAAGAGAGAGAATGAAGGGGAGGGAAGAGAGAGGAGAGAAAACCTAGCTTAGTCCTAGAATCACCAATCTCATGTTTATATAGTGCTCTATAATTTACAAAGTGCTATCCTCTCAACAACCCAGTCATATTTTGTGAGTTTTCCTTCCTGCCCCAGAGTCAGTTACCACAACCCGAGTGAAATTGGAGGGGCAGAATTAATTACTCTGATGATGCCAAAAAAATACCAGCTATCAATTTGGGTAGCAAGAGAAGAAGTGACCCACTTCCAATTGGTCTGTACTGCTCTTGCTATCATCTTTCTCTGCCTTCCTCTTGCTCCCCTCCCAACCTCCTCTCTCTCCCATTGAAATTCCATGTATAAAACTATTTTCTTAGCAGCATGTGTATGAGGAAAGAGGCTTTTTAACTCTGTGCTTTATGGGAATGTGACTTGTGTATAAAGGTTGAAAACAAAAACACAGGAAAAAAGAATAAGAAGAAACATTTTCAAAACAAAACCAAACCTGGCAATTGCCTGGTATGGAGTGATGAGGTGTGGAGTTATTTGAAACTGCTTGTGGGTCCCTCACATATCTTAGAGCCTTCCAATTGGAGAGGCAGGATGGTTGGAATTCGGACGGAAAATCTTTACCCATCACATAGACTCTTGTGTGTACGTGCATGCAAACACAGATACACTGATCTGGAAAACACAGGGGATACAAATATGGTCACTACTTGTAATGGGCTGGCTCTACACTAGGTCAGTCACACTCATCTAGATCCCTTGTGCCAAAAAAAAAAGCCTAACCCCACTGAATTGAGTAAATCAAAGGGGCTATTGTTCTACCCACTTTCAGACTGGTACCACTCCCATCCAATCCCTTTTTCAAACCAGAAGTCCTCTGATCCAGCTCCAGCAGGCTGGCCTGTTGTGCAGATAATGGCACCAAGCCATTTTTGTAAGATACTGGAAGGCAGAGGTAGCCTGCTTGAGGTGAGTGCCACTCTATTCCAAGTCCCCTGGAATGATGCCAGTGTGACTTTCCTTTATTCAGACTCAGCCCTCATCTGGTTCCCAGATCCATTCACCTTGAAATCTTTGTGCATTTACACACAGATCTACCTGTAATCGAGCCTTGAGTATACTTCTCTATCTGATCACCAGTTAGTAGATTAAAACACCTGACCATGTGTCTGCTTAGAGAGGCCAGACCACAAAGGGGACAGGGTCTAATGGCTTCTAAAGAACTCTAGAGTCCTGGAGGGACGTCCGGGACTTTGGTTTTGGTTTAGATGTTGTACCTGGGGGAGTGGTGATGGTCTTGACTGATTTCCCTCCACCAGGCCAATTGTGCATGAAACTAGACAAGGAAGTGGCATGAGGTGCTAAAAGGATGAAGTGATCTACAGTGTTTGAGGTTAAAGATAAAAAAAAATCCGGCAAAAGGAACTAAGTAATATGTTCTCTACTCTGGACAACCCTTGGAGTACACCCAACCAAAACTGAGAGATGTGCACACTTGTACAAAGAGAACCTCTCTCAGACATAGACACAATGCCGCTCGCCAGGAAACCAACAGCCCACCCCAATCCTTTCTTGTGTGCCTTAACCACTTCCTCTCAGTCCTTGGTTGCTCTTAATTTTAGGTCTTGTATGTCTGGTAATCTAATCTGACTTCAGTTTTCAACTCACATACCAAGATTCTTTCCTATAATCATGGACATGCTTATTTGTCTCTATTAAATAGAGACTCACCTAAAGGTATATAAATTATGCCTGAAGTTAGGGAAGCAGTTTGTGTGCAATGATAGCATTCAAGAAACTCAAATGAAAGATGAAAAAAAAACATGTATATACAAACTACTGTATGAGTTCACAAGCAAGAACTACTCTCTCTCTCTCACACACACACACACACACACAGACTTTCATTCCCACACAGACAACCCCAGAGACATAGACCTACACTTCTATATTCTGATGGAAACAAACACTCAGAGACACATTCATTCCCAACAGACAATGATGGAAGTAACGGAATCATAGAAATCATGGATTAAAAGCCAGGAAAGGGATGACTGAATTGGGACATCAACCTAGCCAGGAAGGGAGGAGTAAGGAACTCTAGCTGGTAAGAGAATTTGGGTCTTGTTCTCTGAGTATGACTGACACAAGCAGGAGTACCCAGAGGAGACTTCAGAGGGAATTGAGAGAGAACTTGTTAAAGACCAGATAGGGATCTGAGAGGTAGCTTCACTATCTCTCCTCTCACTCAATTCTAACCTCTCTGAAATCAACTTCATTCAACTGAAACTACTTCCAGCTTCATTCAAGAGAATCTACTCTCTCTAAAGTTACCAATGATCTCTCAGTTGTCAAATCTAATGGCTTTTCTCAATCCTCATTCTTCTTGACCTCTCAGCAACCTCTGACACCATCAGTCAATCTCTTCCAGATATTTTCTCCTCTCCTATGTTTTCATGGCACTGTTCTCCCCTGGTTTTTCCTCCTGTGTCTGGCTGTTCCTCAGACTCCTTTGTTAGATCTTCCTCCAGGTTACCCCAGTCACCAGGGCTATCTCTCAAAGCTCTCTCCTTTACCCTTTTCTGTTCTCCCTCTATACTCTCTCTAGGTGATCTCATCAGCTCTCCTGGGTTCAATTATCATCTCTAAACAAATGATTCCCAGACCTACATATCCAGGCCTAATCTTTCTCCTGAATTCTAGTCTTTTGGAAATCTGGAATAGGGTATCATATAAGCATCTCAAAATCAACATGTCTAAACAGAGCTCATTATCTTTGTCCCCAAAACCCTCCCCTCTTGCCAACTTCCCTATTCTTGTCCAGGGTACCACCATCCTCCCTGTTTCCCAGGCTTAAAACTTTGGTATCATCCTTTCCTCCTCATTCACTTGCACCCCTCATATCCAATCTGTTGTCAAATCGTGTCATTTTTACCTTCACATGTCTACATCTCTCCTCTCCCCTTATCTCTAATCACACAGCCACCATGACAGATAGTTCAGGTCCTCATCTCTACTTGCCTGGACTACTGCAATAGTCTTCTGGGTGGCTGACCTACCTCAAGTGTCTCCCCATTCCAGTTCATCTTTCACTCAGCTGCCAAGGAGCCTCCTAAAGCACAGGTCTGACCATGTCACTTCTACTTAGTAAACTCCAGTGGCTTCCTATTACTGGGATCAAATATAATAAATCCTCTCTTAGATTTTTAAAGCCCTCCACAACCTGGCCCCTTCCTACCTTTCCAGTCTTTCCTAAACTATAGTCCCCTCCACATGCTGTGATCCACTGGTCTTTGAGCTGTTCCTTAAACATGGCACTCCATCTTTCAGCTCTGTACCTTTTCATTGGCTGTCCCCATGCCTGGAATATCCTCCCTCCTTACCTATCTCCTGACTTCCTTTAAGACTCAGTTCCAATCCCACTACCTGCAAGAGGCTTTTCTTAGTCTCAACCCCTACCTCCCTTCCCAACAACAGACACATGGGTCTACCTTCCACTTGCTCTGTCTATATCTTGTATGTACATATAACTTGCATGTTGCCTCCCATGTTAGAATGTGGGCTCCTTGAGGACAGGGACCATGTTTTTGCCTTTCTTTGCCTCCTCAGCACTTAGCACAATGCCTGGCACATGTTAAGCACTTAATAAATGGTGTACCTGAAATAGCAAAATAGGGCCAGATCTTCAAGGGCATTTCCGTCAGGGGTTGAAGACAAAGATGTCACCAGAGGCAGGGATGAAAATTCTTAAAATATGAGAAGGGATAAGTTTCTAGGACAGGTTAAGCTTTAAAGGCTGGGTGTCATTTCTAGGGAACAGAGGAAAAAGGCCCAGAGTCAAGGAGACCAGTTGTCCCAAAGAGGGAGGATTCTGCCCTTAGTGTCATCAGGACTATTGCCGATATATATTGTATTGGGAGAGCTGAGGGAAGCTCAGATGCACA